TTAAACATGTTCAGTACTCCCTAATACTTGTCTTCCAAAATTTATTTTCATGTTGTATCATGACCATAAACGCAAGATTTTATGCTGAGAGTCAATACATCACAGGAAATACAAACTACAAAGTGTTAAAAAATAACTTCATTTGTTTATTTTCAACTGTCATTCAACCAGCTAACAACAATGACCTTCTTTTTTCGGGTGTAGGGGGGCCTCTAATGAACTACTGATGCCATTTCAAAGAATTTAGTCATAAGTTTTGTTCATCAATTAACGATTTCAAAATACTGTGCCATTCAGAAAATTTTGATTTCGAAAAGCTTTCAGATACTAACTTATATCGGTGTAATTGAATATATCGTATTTACCTTTGTTGGCGTAGCTGTTCTTGCCTAGCCTACAAATGACAGTTGTCATTTCTAAATTTGATTTTATGGCAGGTCCCAACGAACCTTCTTTTTTTTCGGAATATGAACTATTTCCATACGGCTGATTTAACTGTCCCTGCATGGATAGGGATACAATTGCAAATCATCGTCTTTACTAACAGCAGCAGTGGCTGCCATTTATAATCATGAACATGAGGCGACAGCGAGAGTGATCTCCCTTCCCATAGTTCCGCCGTTTTAATTACTGTGAAGGATATTTTCAAACTATTGATATTGACAAGTTTTCAATCGATTGTCGGCGACGTCACACCTGAGCAATAGTTTTTGATTATTAGCGACAATCGTCCCAACACTTAGTTTATGTAATTGGGTTACGATATATATATGATTTCATAAAGTTATTTTAAGTTTCTTATTCACTTGAGTAAATTATACAATTGGTCAGATAATTGAATTAAAAAATAACTTTGAAATTGTATATATACTTTTCTCTGTGGTCAAACGGCACTGTATAGGTTCTGGAAATAGCGATCGCCGAAGTGAGGCAGATTTTTGAAGACCTTGGCATGCTTGTGATCATGGACATGTTTTGGGTATACTGTATCATCATTACGAGGGTGGATGCAAAACAATAAGTGTATTAATAGATCAACCTGCGTTACGGACTTGAAATATTCCAGAAATGAAACTAAAAAGCACATTAAAATATATAGAATCACAGATTATGTCAATAATTCAATTACAGATCTCATTCGACACATGGTTTATGTATTTTTTCTTAATTCAATGGTTTATAAATTCAAAACACACATTAACGAAAGCATTTGTGTTTTTAAACATAAAATAAACAATGATTGTAATTAGCACCTTTTTGACATGCTACTGTATGGATAATAGCGACCAGACTGTATATTAATAGCGCATGCGACTTTATATTACTGTATGGTTTATTGCATTGCATTATTACATTTTGCCTGTTGGTGGAATAAAACGTTTTTTCTCACACAGAAAATTTCGAGTGCAGTTACTGCCAAAACAGCTTTATAGAGTTTAGTAAAATAATTGAACATTGCATGCAAGACCACTTAGGAAGACAGTTACAGAAACGAAGAATTTTCTTCTAGTTCCAGAAGAGATAAGTCTCCTATGTAAATGTAGAATTACACCAAATGATTAAAACTGCAGCGTGTGGGTACAAAGAGTTTATCTACTTTTATATTCCCTGTTAAGAAAAATATCAAAAAAGTTATGAACACAACAGGGATCTGATAATTTGCTACAGCTATACTTAGACCTAAACTAAGGTGTTCAGAGTAATTTTATATGTTTAAGGGGTTTAGATCGACTTTCAGTAAATATGCCATTCAAACCCTAGTTTGGCCGTTATCTTTTCTTGTTCTTCTGCCGCAAAATTGGAGAAGGAGCGGGCTCGTTCGGCCATCCAATCTTCTGACAGGAAAAGTTAGATAATTCTTCAAACACGGACATGCTGCCCTACTTCCCAGAACAGACTTAAATAAAAGGGGCCGAATTTTCCCAGGTCTCCCCCTAATTGTAATGACGGTCTAAAATCTCATCAAGCTTGTGCTCTTATAATTATCTCATTCTGAAAGCAGTATTATCTCATTCCGAATCATTAAAGGGGCTGGTCGGGGAGAAAATACAGATAAATGGGTCTAAATACGTTCTCTGGCCTTCCAAAAGTTATACCACAGCAATATGATGGTCAAGTTCTGCTTCCAATGTCTAGTTTTGACCACTGAAATCTCGGGGAAGCCCTGCTTAAATTTAGCGCAGATCACTCGAAAGTGAGGCAGTGAGGATAACAACAACAGTACGCCGTCAAGTGCCATGTGGGACTCAACTAGCGGACAAGCCAGCAATACTTTACGTACATAATTGTTTTCAAAGGTCATGTATGATGCAAGTGTAGTATTCCTACCTATATGTTGTTGTTATATATAACGGTATTGATACCTCGTGCCTGTCAATGACTTTTGCATGCATCTTTTTATTTCACCGCGATGATTTCATTTGGCCTTGTTGATGACGTACGTGCGGTAAAATTACATCACTGATCTGGGTCAATTGAGAGTTTTAGACTGTCAGGTGACGATTTAGGATTTCTTTAATATGATTATAATTTTTACTCTTAGGGAGTGAATTTCAGCAAAATTTTAATCGGTATATTTCATAAGTAGGTATTCTGAACATGTGTATGCCACAATTTTGCAGTTTAAATGAAATGAAAATAGTCTGAGAAGAGCTGAATGTTCACAAGATGAAAATATAGTTAAATATTGTTAATTCACATTTTTGCCGTTTAAATGAAATGAAAATAGTCGGAGCAGAGTTGAATGTTCACAAGCTTATATAAATTGACTCATTACAGTCATCGTTGTAATTGACCCTACAATCATTGTAATAAATGCTCAGGTAATATGCTAGTCGTGTGTAGTGATGTCTCCTCAAGGGGATTACCGTGGCTATTTTTAGACGTAAACAAATCATCACAAATGAGAGATTACCACAAACACTGAACAGGCTTCACACACCGAAATCTTAATTTACATGTATAGGCCTACGGGATTTTGCTAGAGATTTTAAACGCTTGGTCATATCTTACATGCATGATTGTGATCATAGCCATTCCGTAGAATATCGTTAAATGGCAGAAATTTACTGGCACTAGTCAAAATTCCATCCAAAACACCGCTACAAGTTGAACCGGATAAGCGGCTAGAACATTCTTCGTATTTAACGCATGCGCAACAAGCTCTAATCTCAATTCTAGCCTAGAGGGGGTACCAAAATTGGCGCTGGACTAAGGGGAAATCGGATCTTCTGGAAAATTCCACGAAACCTCAGAAATACACCCCATTTTCAAAACCCTCTCAGGGCCGTTCTTTGAAAGATATCGAAAAACCAAATATATCTTTTTCTTGAAAATAACTTGGACTATTTATGTTTGGAGTTTCAGTTCGTCAGCTTTAAGCGTTAATTCTCCAGGGTGAATTATACAGCTACTAATGGTCAAAATGCCGATTTTGGCGTGTTTTACACCAAATATCTCAATAACTAGATTTTTCCCAGATATAACAGATACACAAGGAGGTAGATCGCGCTGAGTTCTACAAACTTGGAAAGTTTCAGCAAAAGTTATGGAGCCGTTTTTTTCGTACTCAAATCGCTGTTATATGCGGCAAATTAGCTACATTTAGCCGTGTTAACATTTCGTTCAGAGGAACGATAACAGAGTTATCGCCCCTCAAACACTTCATTCCATATTCCGTCTTTGCGTATTGCAGAGTTATCTTCTCTTGGGAGCAGGTATTGCTTGTTACGTCACTTGTTTTTGAGAGTAACGTCATCAATTTTTGAGAAAACGACGTAATTTTTCTCGCACAAATCAATGACGTAACAATCAATACCTGTTCCCAAGAGAAGATAACTCTGCAATACAGGTATTGCTTGTTACGTCACTTGTTTGTGAGAGTAACGTCATCAATTTTTGAGAAAACGACGTAATTTTCTCGCACAAATCAATGACGTAACAATCAAAACCTGTTCCCAAGAGAAGATAACTCTGCAATACGCAAAGACGGAATATTACACGGATGGACATTTTAAAGCATGCTCTCCATTAAACCAGTTTGTATCCATACATACAGAAAGAAAATGCCTTCGATCTTTATTTCTGGAATACCCAAAGGGCTTGACCGGGGAACCGCCTCTCTACGTATCAGGAAAGATATCGAAACAGGTAACAATTACAGCAGAAATAATGTGACTTTTAATCAGGCACTGTTATACAAATCCGTGTGTGTTGTGTAAGCGTGGTTGCGTGTGTGTGGTGCAGGAGAAAGGGTATGTGGTTTTTTTGCCACCTTGTAATAGGGCAGATCTGCAGCCGACCTTATATTGCTATCTCACTTAAACACCATGCCGAAGACACCTAATACAGCATTCTGCCCAGTCACATTATACTGAAAACGGGTTAACTAGTTGTTGCGATTCCTATAAATGCTGGGAATAACAACTACCACTTTTCCTTCCTCACCTGAGCGAACTTTCAATATTGAAGCCAAAAATGAGGTATTGCCAAACGAGGCGTAAGCAAATGAAAGGTAATTAGAGGAAGAGAGAAATATAAAGATCTTAACTATTGCAATCGGTGCAGCCGATTTATTTCGGTCGGTTTTGTGTCCTAAGTAGAGAGCAATAAAGCAAGTCCCCAATTCTGCAGTTGGTAACAAACAGCAGGTGTATTCTTTTCTCGATCTCCAACATGCATGGGTGGCTCTGCAGTAATATCCAAAACGAAATTAAGAGAATGTTACTGTATATACCAGACATTACAAGGTTTGCCTGTAGTGAGACTGTTATTTTTAAGGTAAATTAATCTAATGTATATTGCTTTTGTCTGGGGAAGGCATCAGCCATTCTGAGCATGTCAAGTGAAAATAAATCACTTCTCTCAGGGGATTGTCTGCCGAGAATTCAATCTCCAGATCAATACAAGTACAAAGTAATATATAGCCTTAATCTTATGCTTTTGCTGTATCCGCACTTGAACTTGTATATACACATATTTCATCACTTTGTAATGTTTTGCAGTTGCTCAAGTGAAAACAATTTGGATACCAAAGGAAAAGGTAAATATTGGATTGTTGCGGTTGAAAACAGCTTTTAACGCGTCCGTTCATACAAGTTTCAGTATTAAGAGCACGATCGAAAAAAAGTGGTTCAATTATTAGTCATGAAAATGGGATGTTTTATGTTTGAGTGTTAAGGGAGAGGGGGTTTGTTTGTGTTGGTGGGTGTGTTGGTGTGGTTGTATAGATGTGCATGCGGTAGTCAGTAAGTGTGTGCTTCTTTTTTCCCCACTCTGATGAATGCTTTTTATTCATACTTTACAGAAACGTATTTAAAAAAAACCACATTATTTTTATCAATCTTAAACATCCTTTCCTCAATGTGTTATTCTATCAGAAAATTAAGTGTCCTCGTATACACTCTGTTTGGTCACTGACTTAATATATTATTTGTTCATATTTACCTTAGTTTTATCAATTTTTCGAATATCAATTTCTTAATACGTCGGTGCTTTGTTGCAGGGGTATTGCTTTGTTTCGCTTCATGATGAAACATCTGCTGATTTTGTATTGAGTCTGAATGAAGTAAGTACATATCTTAAATATGCATTAACATGTGAAACTATAATAAAATGTATGTTTACTAACTAACGAAATGCTATTGGTAGGAAAATTTGCATTGAAACCCAAAACCTTTCTGTATTTAAGATATTAATTTTCCTCGTTTTTCATTAAAAAAGTACATCGCCATGATTTGTAACATTTTATTGCAAGAAAAACCAAAACAATGTAGGCATTAGCTAAAATAGTTCCAGCACGGTAGACAAAATGCAATCCATTAAAATTTCAGTTGATAAAACCAAAAATGCAATCTCAATTACTTGGTGGTCTTTAAACATATTCACTTTGTTATAGAAAATCTGCATTAACGGAAACGCATTGAAGATAACGAGATGGAGAAGAAAAAGCCGCCTGCCCGAAACCCCAAGGCGAACAACAGCACCAACCTGTAAGCAACAGGTAAACAATGATGTATTTGTTTTACGGGGATACGAAACGTACACAAACTACAAATGCCAGCGACCTCAGAATGATGTACTCTATCAGTACATCCAACAGACGCCCAAGCAAAAAAGGCTGAAGAGGAAACCGTGGAAAGATATGAATCGTCTTTCTCAACTGTCGGCACCAAAATCAAGAAAACAGATGCGAGCAAAAAGACGAAAATGTAAAGAGAAAAGCACACGCCATACAAAAATAAAGGTTGGTATCAGTATGCCACACAGTATGAATTGGATTGTTTACTAAACAGATACAAATTCTGACAAGTTGGCGTTAAGAAGTATTCGTTTTTTAAGAAGACAATATAAGTAGTTATACAAATGGTGATACTTCCTGCAAATATGATTTTCGAAGTTGAATTATTAAACATGTTGTTTTATTATGTATGAATCATTTTAAGTTGTTTTTATCTTTCTCTTTCCTTTACCCTTTTCACATAGCAATCAACGTCTCCATCAGAAGTAGGATTGCACTTTGTCTCTAAAAGACAAAAGAGAAGCAAGCACAATTCGGCCTGTGATGATGACAGCTCGTCAAGTATTCCAACGTGCTTTACCAAGAATAACTCGCTATTGAAAAGTACTTCGGAATCGACCATTAAAACCGAAATCATCAGTCAAAAATCATTAGATTCGATTCAGACGCGATCAATTGCTACAGTCCACGTTTACGATCATTCAACACGTCTTTGTAGTTTCGATGTTGATAACAATAACGTCTTTGAGAGCATCCAGGCCGGACTGGACAATGAACAACTACCCTCTGGCGATACGATACTTATATTGCACAACGGAAAAACAGTCACCCGCCAATGGCAGCCACACATGGCTAACGACGAAAACATACATATCGCTGTGAAAGGTAAAGGAGGGATGATGCAGGGAGACCCTCCTGATGAAGGACACAATGCAGATGACAAAACGGAAACGAAAAACAACGAGAGTAGTTGCGACGGGACACAAAATACAGATGTTAGAGATCCTGATGCAGAAAAAAGCGTCCATCAATCAGGTACACAATTATTATATGATTGTCAATCCAATACCCTCTAAATATTTAATTGGATACTATGAAAAATACAAAGTTGGTTTTAAAATGTAACATAGCGCTGGTGGATATTTTTGTATGATGTATTTTTCCCTTTTGAGGCAGTCTAAGTGTAAAATTGTAGTACCAGTAAAGAAAGGACATCAAACAATACAGTAAACATATTTATATTTCAGAACAAAAGCAACAGATTCAAGCTAATGTGAAGGCTACAAACCCCACTGATGACAATAGGATAGCTGACACTGTTAGTACACAATCTTCTGAAGGCGAATCCGTCAACAAAACGGGTATGCTATGTTTGGGGGGGAAATAGACAGTAGTCCAATATAGAGCAATAGGGATGTAATATGTATGAACTTGAGATGGAATGACTGGGTTATTAGGTAAAAAATACATCAGATGTATCTGAATGCTGGAATTAGTTAATTTTGATATAATTATATAGACAATAAGTGCCGACATTTTTTAAAATGTTGAAGTCAAAGCATAGATCACATTTATCTAACTATCGTAGTCCCCGATCCAAAGATATACTTGCATGGCAAATCTGATTACTTCCACTAAAGAAATATAGAGGATATGTCAGTGACTTTTCAAAGCTTAAGGTCAACATTTATGAAAAATCTAAGTCACAGTGACATTCTCGTACTCCGCACACTGAAATATACAAGGATGCCAAATAAAATTACTCCACGTGAAAAAGTATAATACACAAGTCCTAGACATTTTTTTTTACGGAGGGACGGAAAGAAAGACGGACTGAGTGCTTTTTTTGTATTGTCTAAGGGCCTATCGACAATGCGAGTCATTTAGGGCCAACAACACTGTAAAAAGAGACATTCACGAAAATAAACACATACAACCAAAACTTAATAGCTTTAAATTTGTAAAGGATTAAAGAAATACATCAATATTGAACAAATTGGCAAAACAAAAATATATCATATTTTATTGTAAAGATCAATAGAGTGTGAATAGTCATATATTAACTGCACAGAAATTGTATAGAATAATTTTTTATATACAGTACATCATAAAATCTGTCACGTATTTGTTTGAAATCAGCACGTTTAATCATAAAGTGTTTGACTGTTAATTGTTGATAGCATGCATGACAATAAGGCTGGTCTTCTTTCCGCAAAATAAAGCAATGTGTGATATAAATAGCCTGTGCGCAGTCATGAGAGGACACTTTCCTTTCTGCGGTCTGTTCTACTTGTTGCACATGAACCCACATAGTGCAATCCTAAAGCCACCTCTACTCAACCCTATTTAACTGATGAAACACGAGTAAATTAACGTGATTATAGACTGAATGAATGTTTGATATGCAATGAAAAGTTCAACGGAAGATTTTAATTATTATTAATAGTGCTGAATAATATTTCTGATGGACTTTGGCCCTTCTGAGACACTCACATATTAACGTTGTCACAATTATAAACCTGTGTATAAACATATCGTCAATCAAAATATATATTTCAGAACAAACGACAAAGAGCCCGGCTGAAGAGAAAACTATAAACCCGAATGATGACAACGGAGTAACAAATACCAGTGTAACAGGATCTACTGTAAACGAATCCGTCAACACATCTGGTACGCTATGATTAGTTGATTTTCCAAGTATTTATAAATGGATGGATATTTGATGTAAAATATAACGTATCGTGAAGTGCCAATGAGACGTCCATACAACCAACTGTAGGAATGAAATAACAAATGCCGGTATTAAGGTGCAAATTAGTACTTAAATAACATATCAAAACTTTCTGACTCATTGATTATTTGCTTTAAGTGTATCAAGACAGCGATTCGTCACTCAATAATGAAAGTAATTCAACAGTGTTAGTTGTTTAATTAAAGATATTATATTTGACTAAAAGCAACGTATGAGAGGTGAGACTAAACCAACAATCAAGTTGTCAATTTTATTAGAGCTGACATTTAAAAAAAAAAAAACTAAATTGCTATTTATGCTTCATAACTTTTAATTTTGGCGTAAAACATCTAAACATTGACGATCACTTGAAATAGGGAATACGAAAACAATTGTTTAAATGTTGTTGCTATTCAGAGAGCCATACAATGTTCGCTGTACCATATGGCAAATGCAGCACGTGCAGTATTTTTCGAAACATGCCGAATATGGTGAAAATCGAAATTGCTAAAAGAAGTCCCGCATATCAATGTTTTGCTTCAACAGATAAGGTACACTTGTATAAGTCTTTTAATCCGATTAAGTCAAACTCCAAAGACCGATTTCATTTCAGTAATAATTACCATAACTTTAGTACGCATATACAATACCTACACCCATCTTTGTAGCCCCCCCCCCCAAAAAAAAAAAGATTCAAATATCCCTACCTCCCTACCGTGACGTTAACCATATCTCGACGATAGAGGCGCCTGCTGCCTGCTAACGCCCGGAGCTTGCTCCATTTCAACAATTTGTTTTGTCGGTTTGGTTCGAGTGTCAACTCAATTTATTGCGCAGTTTGTGTGCCTTATACCCATCTGCCCTTGTAATACAATTAATTATTGTTGTACATTATTTTTGTGCCTTTTACGGCCCGTTATTTTACTCCACGTATGCCGGTGGTGTGCCACGGTCCGCCATTAATGTGGGTTAATTTCCGACCTCTGTTTATTTCGGTGACGGTTGTTTGTTTCGCAAAACGTTATTCATTTTAACCGTTTTCTGATTTATATTACGGGTGACATTCTTTCTACGTTGCGTACTTTGTACGATCGTATTTTATTATTTTTTCCCGTGTTTATCTGCTTGTAAATTTTTGGGCGACTTCAGTAGATCTTAAGGACGCCTATTTCCACATCCCCATCAAGAACTCGGCAAGGAAGTACCTCCGTTTTACTTGCAACGGAAAGGTCCTCCAGTTCCGGGCCATGCCGTTCGGGCTCACGACTGCACCTTTGGTTTTCACCAAGCTGCTGCAGGTGGTCGTGGGATTCCTGCACTCTCGAGGAATAGATGTTCGCATCTATTTCGACGACTCCCTCATGCTCCACCTAGTGAGAGATTCTCTGGTGCAGGTCACCCGGTTGGTTTTGAAACTCTTACCCAAGGTCGGCTTCATTCCTTCCATAAAAAAGTCGGGGGTTTCCCCATCTCAGGATTTTGTTTTTCTGGGGAACCGTTTCAATACGGTTCAGGGCATCGCCCTACCACCGATGGAGAAGTTCCAGAAGGCCAGGGCTTATACCCTGACCGTCATCGGCCGGTCTCAAGTCCAGGTACGTTGGTTTCTCAGTTTTCTTGGATATCCCAACTCCCTGGCCGATTTGGTCCCCTAAGGGGGACTTCACATCAGGCCTCTCTAGATGCTTCTCCTTGGCAACTGGGTCCCTTCTTCAAGGGATTGGGAAGCCTGGCTTCCTCTGAGCCAGTCGGTCAAGGAGTACGCACGCTGGTGGAATCATCAGGACAATGTTCTCCAATGTTTGTCAAAGCCGGTTCCCACTATGACCCTGTACACGGATGCATCCATGACAGGGTGGGGAGATTATCTCGACGGGCGTTGCCAGTCGGGGGAGTGGTCTGGGGAACAGCTCTCGGAGCACAGCAATGTGCTCGAGATGAGGGCTGTTCTGTTGGCTCTGCAGTCTTTTCGGGAGATCCTGCATTCCAAGGTGGTTTGTGTGGCTACGGCAACACTACGGTTGTCGCGTATCTGGAGGGACACGGGGGAACCAGGTCTCACACACTGTGTGCCCTCGCTATCTTCTTTGTCAGGAAATGCAGTTGACAATTTGTGTCAAGCATCTACCAGGCAGGTTGAATGTTCTGGCGGGTATTCTTTCCAGGCGCCGCCAGCCGGTTTTGACAGAGTGGCAACTGAATCCCTCGATTTTCGGTGGAATTTGTCAGGTGTGGGACAGGCCTCACATAGACCTGTTTGCCACTTGACTGAACAATCAGTTGCCAACGTTTGTCTCTCCTGTTCCAGATCCAAGGGCTTGGGCCGTGGACGCTCTGTCTCTTGATTGGGAGGGAATGCGCATTTGCATTCCCGCCCTTCAACCTGGTGGGCAGGGTGCTGCAGAAGTTTC